TCCCATTTTACCCCATGCCACTGTTCAATTAAGTGAATCGGTGCATTTGTTAAATTACTCACACTGTCGTTAAGTGAATCTGGATTTCCCCATTGACTTTGCTCATCAGAAGGTTGCAAAAGGGAATCACATGACCCCCAGGGACACTGCAACTGTCGTAAATGTGAGTCAGTTGCCAAGCGTCTGAATTTTGATTTCATGGCCATGGGGATTGCTGTAATGGTTGTAGGTGTGAAAAGGGGTCGTAAGTCATTTTTTGTCAGCGATGGCCATAAATGCAAGCTGGTTGTCAAGGACCCAAAATGCCAAGCACAAGGGGGCCTAGACTAGTCATTGGAACTTTGAATCCAGATCATAAGTAGCTTTCTCGGGCTCTGCTGTAAATTTGAACAGTCACAAAGTGATCGGTCATAAGTCAAATCAAATCAAATTTATTACAGCCGAAGACCAGAGACCAGAACAAATAAAAACACTCGACAGATATCCAGCTAAAAATTCTAGAACAAAATAATAAACAACAGATGAAATCTATGTTAAATGAGTCTTGGTGGCGCAGTGGTTAGAGTGCAGTACTGCAGACTACTTCTGCTGCCTGCCGGCTGCCTGCAATTTGGCAATTCAAATCCCACCTGGCTCAAGGTTGACTCAGCCTTCCATCCTTCCAAGGTGGGTAAAACGAGGACCCAGATTGTTAGGGGCAATAGGCTGACTCTGTAAACCACTTAGAGAGGGCTGTAAACAACTATAAAAGTGGTATATAAGTCTAAGGGATATTGCTATTACTATTATAATCACAATTTGCCATCCGGCCTGTTAGTTACACATGGTCATAAGTCAAAAGCTACCTGTAAGTGCCACATTTATGGAGTGGAGTTGGGATAAAGGTGACTAAGAATAATAATTAAAAATGACGAATTCTGCACCTTTGCAACTGAAGCCCCACTTTTTGTGTATTTGTTGCCCTTGTGACTCATTTGGGGGAAAAAATGGTGGGGTTTTAATTGCAGGGATGTGATGTTTTTGATGTTCCTCCTTGTGGATGGACCTACCAAGTATTTTGAATTAATGCTTTATAGCAAGGATTTTGCAGCTGTCTGGATGGAGATGTTCTTGAGATGACCCGGGGCGTGGCGTAAAGGCAATATAGTCAAATAATAAGTAGAAGTCCTTTTATTAGCTCTAACTCTGCCCCCAATGTCCTAGTTACCTTCTGGTCTGGAGAAAAACTCTCCCAGAAACAGCCTTTGGTTGCAGAGATTCAAATCCAAAAGGTTGTTAACAAAAACTTTAACTATAAGTCCAATTCAAGGCAAGATGAGGTAATTAATCTGGCAGGGCAAGAGGAGGAATTCCAGGCATGAAGGAATGGCAGTAACCTAGTGAGGAGGATTCCAGGAACACAGATAACCACAGTCAACACAAAATAAAGTAACGTTTGTTCCCAGCCGTCGCTGCTCTCAGCTTGCATCTCTTTTAAACTCTCTTCCCAGATGTGCCTAATGAAGGGAATCAGGGCCCTTTCCTCCCCCATAAGCCACACAACCCACATTGCTCTCTTCTCCGTTCCTCCCTGCCTGTCCTAAGATGAAGAGGGGCTGGGCCTGGGTCTTCCTCTGAACTCCCTCTCCCTTGTTCTTCCTCTTTCTTGCTCTACCCAGCTGGACTTTGCCCTTCCCCAGTTTCCTCCACAGCCAACAGAGCCACCCCGCTCTCCCTGTCAACTGTTTGTCTTCCTCCTCAAATTCAGGATTCAGACTCCGACAGGCGCATGACAGTTCTGGCTTGCCATAATCACAACAGAATCAGATTTGATAATGGTGAAGTTTTGCTGGCAAGCCCAGTTCAGCGGAAATGGCATCGGTTTAACCACAATGTCATGTTCTGTGAACTTGGTATATTTATCAAGCAGGCCCAGCAGATAACAGTTTCCTCTCTGTTGATAAAAAATTAAAAACCCCTTTTGTCTCCTTATCTTATCTTACTTATTTTCCTACATTTTGTATAAATGTTCCTCTTAGGCCAAATGCATTTTTTTGTTTTTTATTGTGTTTTCTCTTGCATGTCTGCACACTGATGAAAGCAATCAATTATTCAGCACACCCAAGCTCTTTGGAGCTGACTTGAAGGTACAGCCTTCCTCCACTCCCTCTTCTTTTGGGCCTTGTTTTCATTAACTTCTCGGTGAATGGTCAAATCTTGCAATCAAATGAAAACATCTCTAGAAATCGCCTCGATTTCTCATCATTTTCTGGTGAGATGGGCAGCAAACAAATTTGATGATGATGGTAATGATGATGATGGTGGTGATAATAATAATAATAATAATAATAATAATAATAATAATAATAATAAT